GGGAGATATGAAAAAAAAAAAAAAAATTATAAAAAAAAAAAATGTTGTTGTTTGGGTTGGGGGGGGGGGGGGGGGGGGGGGACAAGAGCACATCTCTTTTAATGCTCTGTGGGCATTTACCGAATACCTTTCGTGCAACACTTTTGATTTATTTTCTTTACGCATCACTACTGGCTAAGCAATGTCACAATAAAGAGCATCTATGCCTGCTAATAACAGTAACAAAGCTACTGTCGGTTATGGTGTAGTAGACAGTGTAATCATCTTTTTGTTATAATCGTGATTTGTCTATTTTGTATCTTTCTTCAGACGTTACACACTCACTGTATTGTTTAACTAACACTATGAATATCTTTTTTTTTTTATTACCTCTACGGTTAACGCTACCTTAATCTCCCTTCAAGCCTAGCTTTTTGTAATTAATGCTGATAGCATGTCTGTGCATCATATACTGAAAACTAAGATTAGAATTGCTACAGTTATATATATTTTTTGCCTATTTACAAAATGTATTTGAACTACTAGATCAGGGGTTAAGTACACGTTGCTCATCGGTATTCAGAAATCAAGCTGTGCTTTTATCCAAGCCAATGTTGTGACTCTCTTAGTTTTGAGGATTAAAAACTATTGTCACTTTTTGAAAAAGCCAATAAATTCCTGTAAAATCACTTCCTCTGTTGTATACATCACCTTTGTGCTATAAATTAGTGTTGAGTAATTATTTGACAATATCTGTCCGAATTTCTAACTTCTTCTTTTTTATACCTTAAACAATTATAACTATTAACTGATATCCATCCATAGTTTGTTTCTAAAAATAACAAACTTTTCTCGAGCAAAAATGTTACAAATAAAACAAAATGCCTTTTAAATGTTTTCCTTTTACAAGGCAAATATGTGAGATGCTATTTATGTTTTGACTTTACAAAGTTACAGATTTTCTACAACATTCTGACTTTTTATTATTAAAATACAGCCAGTTTCGGCTTTTGATAAGATGGGAACACACCACTTCCAAAATAAACTAAAAAATATTTTACATTGTTGTGGTTGAGTACGTTCAGCTGTATAACTTTGGCCCAGCAGATTAGAGGTTCGGACACCAATGATTCATTTCCTTTTTTCCTTTGTTTTGGAATGGGATGATTATTTAGCATTTTTAATTTTTAAAACATTGTTGCACAAATATTATTTTTTGATTCCTTGGCACATATTTACATTTTAAGCATGTATAAATCCTCATAGTTGAGGTTGATCATGTCCACTGGGAACACTCGATCGGCTCCCCAGTTTTACCCTTCAGACCCAAACTGCCACCTTCATACAGAAGAAAATCGGATATTCAGGAATCAGTCTGACCACAGTAAAGCCAATTTAATATAAACAGGGATGCAGAGGATGCTGATTTTAAAAGGTTGTCAGCAGTGGGAATCGTAGAATGTTGTTAAATATGTGGGCTGGATTTGAGAAATGGACACAAAGGGAAATGATTTTCCATCACCAACCCTCGAGACGTTGGAGTTCAACCAATCTGGATTCTACGCCTCTCCACTCGTCCTCCAGACTCTTGGACCTCGATTGAGTTAAGAGATGGACTCTTTAAAAATATTCCCTAAACTCAAACTGTCTTTGCCGATTTTGAAGAACTGTTGTTTTTTTATACTATGACCTTATGTGGCTTATAATGTGGAGGATGTCAATATAACTGTCAAGTCAGCCATTTATTCACCCACATTTCATACTGACTGATTCTAAAGGGAAGTCATTTAACTGGAGACTTTATAAACTGAAGGTAGTTAAAATGTCTTGGATAAATAAACATGCATTTGGCACCACATACCAGTTATTAAACTCTTTCAGCTTAGAATTAAATTCACATCTCAGGGAAATGGCTACAGTAATTTTTTATTACAAGATAACCCAACATTTAATCTCATGTCAATAAAATGTACAATTCATTAACCGACACTGGGTTGATAATACATGTGGCCAAAACTTTACATCTTAAAGTGAAAAGTTTATTTATTTAGTGGCATCCCAAAAGTTTCAGCCTTTGGGTGTTTTTCACATATCTCCTCTTCAGAAACCCTCCAGCTGCTCAGTAGCAGCTCAGGAATCTGCAAATCGTAACAAAGTCCCCGAAGTCGTAGGTATGCTGAGAAGAGATGAAAGACAAACCGTTAGAAAATCTGAATATACTCTCTCCGGAAATAATCTCAATAACTCATAAAAGCTCAGCAGAAAAGAATAGACTGAATTTTGTACGTTTACCATTATACAGAACATACAAGCATTATCAATTGAATGGAAAGGAACAGACTAAATCGTACCTTTCTACCAATTCTGCCCCAACAATGTCATGGACGTGATATTTCATAGGAAATTTCACGTGTGAGGTTGTTCGCCGCTCCTCTAGATTGACTCGTAACACTTCGCTGTATTTGGACTTCTTCACCATGCCAAGCACTGCTTTACGTCCTGAAAAAAATGTGTTAGATGATACCAAACAAACCCCCACAGGTAAAGAATGCCAAAATCTTACAGAAATGAGAAATATTTACAGTGAAGATGCAATAATCATCCTAAAATACCAACCTTGAATAAAATACTTTGTGAATTTGCCAGAATTGGGAATGGAAAGCCACCAGCTGCCAGCATCCCTCACAGTCAGGACCCCTGACTTCACCAGCTGCCTTGGTGGAGAGAAAAACAATGTGCTCATGTCTGACAGAATTATACGCAGATGAAAAATCTTGGAACAACATTCAATAGCGTGTCGCAGTCAGAGTTCCTCATACGTTATCTCAGAGTCTGTGAAGAGAAACTCCCTCAGCATCTTGTCTTTGCTGAAGCTCAGATCTGTGCAGGAGGACACCACTTTCTCCAGGAACTTTTCAACAGTTGCTTGTGTTGCTTTCCCCTCTTCGCCGGCCAGTACTTTGGTCTTGTAGTCTGACGCAAACACCAGCCCGAATGCTTCAGAGTCAAACCCGAGCTGGAACATCAGCAGCTCCCCACTCTCCTGGAGTTTATTCTGCTCAGACAAAAGCATGGGAGTAAGAACTTCAAAAATAGTTCAAATCCTTTTTAACGTTTTTCAATAACAAGATTTACTGGATTTTATGTGCTAGAGCAAGACAAAGTATTCTATGCTTGTGATGTGGAAGGTATTGACCGGCTTTAGTTTTTTTTAAATTATCTGCTAAACGTTATTTATTATGTGTTGTCTGCAACATAAAATCCCAATGAAACGAATTGAAATGTGTGACTGTGGTATGACAAACTATAAAACTATTAAAAATCAAAGAGCTGGCTCACCACTTCCTTATCCACCAGGGTCTTGTCATTGTGTACGCTGTACAACTGATGCTTCAGTACAATAGGAGGCAATGTGTCGTTAAAGAGCTTTCTGGGAAATAAAGTCATGAGGTTCTCCAAGGTGGATTTCATGTCAGCTGGTTCTTTAAGAGAGGAAGCATGGAGAGACGTTTGTACATGTGGCATTATTTTTGTTTAGATAAAAGTACAAACCACTTTTCAAGACACTCACCACCACCTTCGTCACCAGCCCCAAACTTTTCTGTGCCATTTCTCCTTTTCTTCGGTTTGAAAGCGTCGGAAACCAGAGCCCGTTTTCTATTCATACCTGGAACAAAAATAATGCAGATATGACCCATTCACCAAGATGACTGGATAGCATTTTCATTTAAAGGCTAGGTATCTTCTTACCCGAGGTACGACCTACTAGATGTTCTTATAAGAACCAGCGTGTCTCATACATAAAACCTTTTTCGAAGCGTTGTCTTGTTCTTTTCAAAGTTTATAGTTAGCCAAGCTAACAACCTTAGCGGCGCTAACTTAAGTCAAACGTTTTGTATAGGTAACTAAAACAGTTACCTTTTAATTACGGTGTAGATTGAACGCCGTTTCTTGCAATTTATTAAATTAAATAACCTATTAGTTTATCATAAATGTTATCATTTCACAAAATGTAAAGCTTCCTCTTTTCACTGTTATGTTGGTTCTATTAAGATAAACTGTCGGTGCTGCCACCTAGTGGACGAGTTTGAAATAGTAACACCGGAAGTTGCGTAAAGTTTGTTTGTAGCATGTAAGGCTAGCTAGCACCCCCGCAAATTTAAAAATACGTTAACTTTCTTTATTGGTTCAATTCTGAACAAATGTTATATAGTTAAATCCATCAATTTTATTATTTTATAGGTGACAGATGAGCAGTTTGTGTTGTGTTCTTTGATCAGAAGGTAGGTTTTCATTTACTCGTCAGGTATTTTAGTTGGTCAGATGCATCTATAATAAAAATTAAATGAAAATGTTTTAAAAATAAAATTGTTAATAGAAAAAATATATGCATATACAGGTGGTGCAGTGGAAGTAATCTTTAAGCAGCGAACGCTAGATTTTTATCACACAATTACGAGGTGTATATATTGTTGTATCATGCATAATCTATTAGTTCCGCACACATTATCAAAGCATGATTACAACTTAAAAGTTTAGAACTGCAGAGATAATCAGGGTATGCACTCACATAATTTGAGAGTAGATGAATTATTATGTAGTAATCTTGCAAATCTAATGTTTGTAGGTAGAAATGAGCAATTATGGGAATCTGAGCTTCATTTAGATGTGCTTGATTTTATTTGTGATTTTATGTAGAAATGCACTTATCAGAGTTTACTTAACTGATATAAGGTGCTGGTTTTCTGTGAAATTTAGCCTTCTGACTTTTTTAGTTTTGAAAAATCTGATCTTCTGAGTCTAACTCGCCAATTGCAAGTCAAAACCAAGTCAATCAAGAAATAAAGGGGCAGATTGTGATATGTTGGAGATTCATTTTTGTATGTTTAACTTTACGATTACGATTATCCATGGTCAGTATGTCTCATAGGTCAAGGTCTTTTCTGTGTTAGAAATGGACCGGCACAGATCCCGCAGCCCTACTTCCAGCTCCCACCACCACTATTCCCCAAACAGACGGGGAGGCGATAACAGGAGACGAAACCACTGTGACGGTGCACAATTCAGACCCTCAAATCACCACCTGCATCAGTCCAGTGCAACTCCAAGACAAACCCCACCAAGGTCCCAGACCTTAAGCACAAGGAGGGAAGCGTATGAGAGAGACTTTCCGTTGTACAAGCAGCCTGTGGAAGTGGGCTGTTTCTCTCTGGACTCTCGGCGTAGGTTTTTCAACGACAGCAGGCAGATGAGATACTACGTGGAACCTGAGCGAAGTCCCAATTTTGATCTGAGGGATGGGTACAAGGAACGATACGTGAAGAGGGACGAAAATGTCAAGGAGAAGCTGGATCACATTCTGCGGTGGATCATAGCCAACAGGTCAAAGCTGACATCCAAGCTGACCACAAATGCCTCATGGTGAGTTTATGCACAGAATATAGAATAAACACTTTTAATTTGAGAGGAAAATTGGTTAAATATTGGCGTTTCTTAGATGACAGAGGAATAATATAAGAAACATTAATAAACTGTGACACCAGGCCGAAAAGTGATCCACAGCTTTTACTCCTCGCAGCCCGTTAGACTTTGACTTTGTGACCTGGCGGGGCCACCTGACCAAGCTGCTCACTACGCCGTACGAGACCAGAGAGGGCTGGTTGCTGGCGGTGACCAGGTTTAACGGCACGCTCTACATCAGCGAGGTGGAGACCGAAGCTGCTCGCAGGGAACGAGAAAACCGCCCAGAGAGGAACAAGGAGATGATGTACTGGGGATACAAGTTTGAACAGTACATGTGTGCAGGTGAGGGGCTGTTTACTTTGCCTTTATGTAAGTCAGTGAACGTTACCGGCTTCCTTATTGCATAGATTCAGCTGTTTTGTATGGAATCTAAAACCAGAAGTATTTACAAATGTAAATACTTCTGGTTTTAGATTCTATCTGTTATTTTCAGGAAAAGAAAATAAGTGGGATGAGGTGACACTTCAGAAATATATTGAGATGTCAATTCAATATTTAAAAACAAGCAAGAAAGAAACCCAAAGGAATCACATGTGGAGTAAATAAAGCTGGTCCAAAGATGGATCCTTGAGGAACACCAAAATGTAAAGCATCTTAGTGAGAGAGAATTTTCCCAATTGAACACATAAAGATCTCTTTTAAAAAAGACACAAATCATTGAAAGAACTTACTAATTTCACTTTAGAAGCAATTGTAAAGTAATGTTTTACCAAATCAAAGGTATGTTCTTAGAACGACTAAAATCAAAGCATTGTTTTTTTGTGAGATCATTTGTCTTAGATAAAAATAAGGACAGTTCCAGTATATTAGAATCAAATTTAGAAGTACGATCTAATGCTTCAGATCAGTTTGTTTTTGGATCGATGCATTATAATATAAGCACACTGCAATTCTATTGGACCACAGTAGAAATCTCCTCTGTCCTCTCCTGCAGACGATACAAACAGTGACCCTGACCCCAGCGGAGTGGTCAACACCAACGAGGCCTTCTGCACCGTGGTCCAGACCCGGCTCACGGACCACAAGCTTCTGTTCTCTGGTGAGGTGGATTGTCGGGACAGAGATCCTGGTGCTCCTCCCCCTCCTGCCTGCTACGTGGAGCTGAAGACCTCTGCAGAGATCTGCACTCCCAAACAGCGTAGCAACTTCCACAGGTCAGAGAGACGATTTGAATCGCCTGACCGATCGTCTTGATCTGCTTAAACAGATGCTTCTGATGCCTTTTATTATTTTGGTGTCTGCGTCAGGTTTAAACTGTTGAAGTGGTGGGCCCAGTCTTTTCTCCCCGGGGTCCCTCGGGTGGTTGCGGGTTTCAGGGATCATGACGGGACCGTAGTTTCTGTGGAGACTTTTCAGATCTCCAAGATTTCACAGCTCATCAAGGTATGAAAAGGTTTCAGACTTTTTTGTTTCCTTTTCAGACATCAATTGACATGAGTCAACTCCGGCTGCAGATCCGAGTACTTGAACAGTCTTTTTTTTTTTCCCCAGAACGAATACAACTGCTGGAAGCCAACAGTGTGCATGAACTTCTGCTGCGACTTCCTGTCTTTTGTGAAGCGTGAAGCTACTGAGGACAATCCTAGGTGAGTTTAAATGAAGAGATATGTTTGTTCATAGTTATGTGGCAGGATAACAGACAGAAATTGAAGGCAATGTCCCATCTGAAGAGGTTTTAGTTTGGATGAGGATTATTTGTTCAGTTTCCATTTGAGACATGCCTGACTGGACTGTTTTGGTCCAGTCTGGCAAAACTGCCTGGATTTTTCCATTGCAACATTTTATCATCTACATGAATGGATGTTGACTACCAACATGGCTAACTTTACTATTCCTGGATGGTTAGGTCTGATGTTTGTAAAATATTTCTGTTTCAGTGTGGTGTACTTGTTTTCCTGGGAGCCACACAACGACGTGACCTACTCAGTCCACCGGGACTCCCGATATTCCTTCCTGCCCGACTGGTATATTAAGGAAATGACCAGGTCTCCAGAATAACAACAGCCGTCCTCTTTCAGGATTCCTACAATGTTGGAAAATTATGGAATTTTATGGAAGTATTTTCCAGATCTGGAAGTTTTTGAACTTGCAGATTCTACTCCCTGTCCCCTCTGTCCGAAAGTTGCATCCTCTTAATTATCATTAGTAATTGCTTGCAGGTTTTAGAACTTAAACCTGAGTGTGGAAAACAAACGTTTTGTATTTATGTTTCTGAAAATATATAAAAATGAAAAAAAGAAGAAATTTTAAGTCTGGAAAACTGAATTTTGATATTAAAATCTTATCGGAGCGCTGAATTCTGAAGTTTTCCTCAACACGAAAAGTTCAACAAACGTAAGCATCTGTCGCTTAATCATCTTCTGGGAAGATTTTTTTTTAAATAATAAACTTTGTCCTTTGTTTTGTGCATGATAATTTAAAATAAAACAATCTGTAATTTTTTCATGATTATTTTATTGTTTCCTTGTTTTAACAGTCATTTTGATCCAGAAACCATCAAGTAAAAAAAAAAAAAAAAAAAAAAAAAATCTTTAACAGTTAAAATGAAAAAAAAAAGTCAAATCAAATTGTATTTCTTTAACAGTATTTCATGTAAATCTATTTTTTTTTTAATTCTTAATAAAATAGATAAGACAGTAACTGACGCTTGTGATTTAATGTAGTATTTATCCAAATGTGTCCTTTTGTCTTGTTTGGATATGTATGCATTTCTATTAAGACTTCAGCTTGGTACAAAGAAACATCATGAAACACGTATTACAGTTGGAGAGCGAGAGCACATTGTGATACGGCAGCACCAGGAAACCTTAAATAATGGAAGACAAGATGCTCAGAGGATAGAAAACCGTTTCCATGGCAACCCCACATAGTTCCAAAGCTCTGAGGCACTTATGTACAATTAGCTCCGACCTCCACGTCTGTTAATATCAGCTTTACTTGCACTGTTAGAGAAAAAATGATGAAGTGATTTCTGTCATAATTGCTGATCTGGAAAAAGTGCATTCAGCCATTAATTTAGTTAAAAACCATTACAGATATCAAAGCTAATTCATGACACTGGCATCCACACTGCATCTCCTATTTTTAGCAGTATTTCCTAAGCAGTAAATGTGAACTGGATAGTTTCACATCTTAAAGCACAAGTTAAGAAAATATCCAGGGTCTTAAAATAAGATCACAAATAATTATTACTCCCTTAAATTACAGCACACCTCTTATAATAAAGACATTAATTATAGGTCTTTAAAAACATCAAAAACAGCAAGACTGGCCCTTTTCAGATCAAAAAGAATTGGTCCTGGCCTAGTACTAACTAGTAATAGTTAGTTGTTGGTTTTTTTTGGAGGAGGAAGGCTTGTAAACAGTATTAGATTTTCTTTTTTCGTTAAATATGTATCTAATACTTGCCTTTATTTAGTTAATGCTCCCTTGTATTAACTATTACAAAACCGTAATATAGCAGCTGTTTAGGAAGGCTCTACTGTGGAAGCAAAATAAATAAAAAAAATCTGCATAGATGGAAGTTGTCATAAAGTTAAAGCCCAGACGCCATTGTGCGTTAGAACGCCATCAGTGGTTTGGATAAATATGTTATGAATGCCCAGAAGTCAGTCAAGTCCAACTCCAGTTAGGTAAGACAATAAACACACATCCGAGTGTTAATAGAAATCAGTAGCGGGCACCGATTAAATCTGTCCATTCAAGCAGAACCTCTCAGTGCTTCAGCTTTTCACTCAGGCCCATGAGTCTGAAGGTAGCGGCTGTGATCTTCTCATAAACCACAAACATCAGGGCGGCCGTCAGCACCGTCTGCAGCAGCTTGGCCTCCAAGCCTTTGTACAACCCAAGAAAGCCGTGCTTCCTGCAAAAACACAGAACCGTCAGCGACCGACAGCCCGCCCGCCCGTTTTCTGAGCCCACTTATCGCTGAACTCACTTGATCCGGTCCATGAACAGGAAGAAAATATTGGAGACGCTCCCCATCAGGCCCCCTTGGCCGTCGCCTCTATACTGACCGAACTGATGAAGAGAAGAGCTGAGGTTATTTTTCCGGAGCTAATGAATTACTGTTTCCAGTTAGCGTTTGTGACTTTTGCAAAATCAGGAAGCCGAGCTAATGTGTCAGAGAAGAAGACGTATTTTTTACCCTCAGGATGGCCTGGATGGTTTGGAGTGGGTACGTTGCTGTGGTAGCGATTGCCTTGGCGATTGCTCCGATGAGAAAGATCTTTGCTGAGGATATCTGTGCCAGGGAATAAAGATTTAATAGAGTTCTCCGTGACTGCTATACTAAAACAAAACTGAAATCACACAAATGATCCTGAAGTAGCGAGGTTCATATTATATGTCAAAAACATATCCAGCATCCTCTCGCCTTTTGGCCGCCCTTGCCCGCCTTCCTCTTCATGGCTTCATAAATCATGAACTGCACAGCCGGGTTGAGGACGAGAATCAGAGAGGGCAGGGTGCCGTTCCACAGCGTTCCCACTCCCTCGTTGGCGATGATCTGCGAGAAAGCATCTACGAGAAGGAAAGCCGAAATGTTGGACGGCTCGGTGTCACATAAAAAGCACGTCTGAGGGGGTGTGGAATTGGAATACACACCGAATATGCCTCTGTAATGGGTTTGGTGGAGGTCTTCGTTTCTGAACCTCACTCCCTGCAGCTTCAGCCTGGTGTTGACGACCCACATGGGAGTAGTCAGGATCACGTTCACCACACCTGCTCGAACACATGACGGTCAGACGGCACGCGTCCCAAAATCGTAGCGCGGTGGTGGCAGCATCATGCTTTTCTTAACGCGGCAGAAATGTAGCAGGAAATGAAGAGCTTAACCAACCCACATTATGAATTAAAATGGTTCAAATTCATTGGAAAAACCTAATTAACAACCCCAGATATTTGGATTAGAAAAAAAGAAAAAGAATCTATGCATGGATTAATTGGGCTATGAATACTTTTCCAAGGCAAGGTAAACCAACTATAACATAAGAATAAAAAAGGCAAAACATTCATCAATTACCTTTAATACTACAGCATGCTTGATGCTAAAAAAGAGCATCTATCATATTTACCTGCTACCATCCCCATCAGCAGGTCTTTACCGGGTCTGGGCTTGCCCGGTCCAGATGCAGCCACCTTCTTCAGAGCATTGAAAGTGTAGAAGTAGACAAAGTTGGAGCAGCAAAGGCTGGAGATAACTGGAAACCAGCCTCTGTACAGAGCCAAACTGAGAGAAGTGGTGGAGAACTTAAGGTATACACCTCTACGCGTGTTTTACAGGAATCACAGAACGTTAAGTGATATAAGGTCCTAAAAAGTTGAACTTACAAGCCCTCTTCTTTCGCAATTTCAGCCAAAATGACAGGCGTGGACTGGGCTTTTCTTTTGTCATCCACTGAGAAGAAAACGTGAAAATATCACGATTCAAGTCCAACGAACTACAAGAATGTTAAAAAGCAACAACTGCAGACATATCAGCTTTACTACATCAGGTCATTTCTGCTTGTAATTTGTAACAGATGCTCAATAGCCTATGGGTATTAAAGTCTGTGCAACAAATATTTTTTTATACCTTGCCTATTTTATTAATAATATCAATCAAAAGGAAATCATACTGAGATAGAATGATGATCTACTGTAGTGTTGTGAAGAATAGTGCACAAAAAAAATCCTCCACAATAATGTCAGAGACTGCATTAAAGGACTACTGAGTTATTGGTGGTTTTACCAAGCTATAAAATGATGGAGTGTATCTAATTATTGACACACAGCTTCTTCACTTTGGCATTTATTTATTTGAATAAATAAGGACAACATGAATAATAAAGGGACAGTTGGAATGGGAATATTTTTAAAACCTTATAAGAAGAAGATTCTATTTTAAATCCTCATAGATGCAAATCTAAACTGGATGATTACACGATAACAACTCAAACTCACCTTGTAATCTGCTTTTAGCTGTATCCAAAGGGAAGAAGACTGTCATGGCTGTCACACTCCCCTGGAAGATAAGACATTGCAACATCACCACTACTGCTCCGTCTGTCGCTCGATGTTTTCATTTCACTCTTTATTCTTCCTCAAATGAAGAAGCTACTGATATCAGGGGAATAGTTTTAAAACTCACCATAGCACCTGCCACCGCGTGGACCAGCGTCTCGTAGGACAGGAGGCCGACAACAGAGCCACCATTGTGGGACATCTCTGCAGGATGTTACCGGTGAGAGCTCAACAATTAAAAAGCCGGGCGATGTAGCCCGGAAGAGACCCGGAGAGGACAGACGGGCGTCGGCCTGGTTCTGGCGCGGTGGGAGCGGATAGTTCTTACTGCTATAACTGCATGATGTTGTTGCGAAAGGTGGAAATAGGGACGAGAAAGGAGTGAAGACAGTGCTGGACCGTAGATCCAATGGACAGATTCGTCTTCTGTTTTAATCAGAAAATCACCAAATAGCGTGTTGCGCCACCTGCTGGTCAGGAGGGTTATCACAACACCTAAAAAGCTATTGGCTACTGTAAACAAAACAGTTTTTTCTAAGACTGGTGGGTTAAAGATCCCTACAATGAAACATGGTAGTGGCACCATCATGCTATGATGGGTTTTTTATTCTTCAATCAACAAACGGTGCAGGAGGTGAGACAGAAATTAATTATTTGCATATCAATGTCTAATTTATTTTTAAACTCTGGGAAAGAAAGTGATTTAATTTCAAACACTGAAATTAGGTTTGTTTTTTCTCCTTAATAAATATATTTATAAAATGTGCATTCTAAGAGAGAAAAACCTGTTGTGCTTTTTATTTTTATTTTATTTTTGCATGTAAATTAGAAAGGAAGCGATTCAGAGTTGATGGAAAGACTGAGGGAACTGAATACAGTGCAAACAGGTTGCAAAAGACTCAAGAATAGGACAAAGGTTTATCTCCAAATAGGACCACACCCCTTTTCATACAACTAGTGCAAGAAAACAATCATCTGAGATTTGATTTGCCCCAGGATTTTCCATTCCTCCATTTTCAGCCAGCTTTATGTGGATTTACTATCTTATTTTGAGTCATTATTCTGAGGCAGGGTCTAGTTCTGCTTTAGATTTTTTAGCTATATATATTTTTTTTTTTACCGACTTTCTGACATTTTCTTTAAGTTCAACATGATATAATGGTGTTGCATGGTGGAGATCCCCAAACCATGAACAAGGGGCTTTACTCCAGAAGTTGTATTTGTCTTTGATCTTTCTGGAAAACTTCAGTCTGGTCTTCATGTCTTCAGAGAGCAAAGGTTTCCTCTTTACACACCTCTCATGAAAGTTAAACTTATGCAATCTGTTTTTGATTACACAGACAATTTCATAGAAAGAATAGCTAACCTGCTGCAGCTTTTGCAATAAAATATAAGACTTCTTAGAGACTTCTTTCAGCATCTTGCAGTCTAGCGAAGTTGCAGGGGTGACCTGAGCTGTGCATGTTTGGCAGTTGTTTTGAATCTTCTTTTCTTACAGACGATTTTTTTCCCAGTAAAATGTCTGATTTCAAATATACCCTTTTCACACTTAAAAACTGTGAAAATCTTCTCTGCAGGCCTCTCAGACAGTTTTTTTTTCTATCTCAACAGTAAGTTTACTCTCTCTTGAATAGTCAGGAGCACACTAGTGTCAATTCACTAAATTCAAATTCAAATTTTAAATAAACCTTCTTCAAAATGCATAGTAACAGCACTGTAATCCTGTTGATGGAATTTTTTTTTTTTTTTTTTTTTTTGTAATTTCAATGGTAAGTAAAATGTGTGGGCATAATATTTACATTTTCAGAGATTGCATTTAAAAACAGTTCTAAAAGGTGTTTTCTGCATTTTTGTATTGTTTTATATAATACTTAAATTTCTCAAATCTCTGATTTAGATAGATTACAAATTGCAATTAGTTCAAGAACAGTGATTTTGCACTAATATTTTATTAAAATCCTATTAAAAATGTTGGATTTGTTGAACAGAAATCATTGTAATAATGTTTTTTAAGATATGAATTAAATGTAGCGATGTACAGAAGTGCGATAAAGCAGCTCAACATATTGTCTTCAAGTGCTTAAGATCTCATTGTGAGTTCAGGGTAAGCTGCGTTGATATATGGAGCAGGAAGTGATGCAGTTGACAGCAGGGAGCTGGACTTTGCTTTTGTTTTATTGCTGGGCAGCTCACACACCCAGTGATCACTTGGCTTGTTCGGGTCCACAGTTTCTCATCTGACACAAGCGAAAGAGCAGAAAGAGGAGAAATACAAGGATTTTAAAACATTTTCAAAGATGTCTCGGTACCACAAGGCAGCGGTTGATGGCAACGTAGACTTGTTGAAGGAGGCCACAAGGAAGCACCTGAACACGGCTGACGACGATGGCATGACTCCCACCCTGCTGGCTGCTTTTCACGGACACGTCGATGCTCTTCAACTCATATGCAGCAGAGAGTAAGCATAATCGAACTTTTCTATTTCACACACCTTTGTCAAACACAGTCCTTCTCATGAGTTTAGATGTTGAAATTCTCACAATTTAAAACAGTTCAGTTTTCATTAAAGCTCGAAATGGCTTCTAAAGATCAAAGATCACCTAACAGAAAGTAGATTCTACTTCAATATTAACTTTTGATGGATTATTTTGGCATTTGTTATTCGCTACAGTGTCATGAAGAAAACCCTAATTTTGTACACTGGACTCCTCTCTCGTCAGCTGACCTAAAAATTTAGTCATCCAAATCCATCCTGTAAAACAATAAAGCTCTTTATCTTTGCATGCCCACCACCCCCATCCCACTGTCAGGACAACAAAAGATGAACAAAAACATTCAGAGAAATTTAACTGGAAGTAACCTGCTTATAATAGAGCATGTGGTCAAAAACATTTTCAGAATTACAGCCAGAACCGAAACTTATGATAAAAAGAGCCAGTAAAATGTATCAATCAAGTCTAGATAAATTTGACAAAAAAGTAGAAAAGAATTAAAATTTCTAATAGCTCATTGATTATCTTCAACCTTGCGCAGTTTTTAGAATGTTGGTATTTTTTTTTATTAACATATTACTTAACATTTTTAGATTTCTGTTTGTTGCTGTTTGCATTCTTGGCAAGAAAGGTGGGAGGTGCATTGACAGCAAGGTGGGATCAGAATGTGATAAGGCCGTACAGAATGTAGAAACAGAGATATGAGCATATTATGTATTGTTTTATGGAAACAGACTCCAGCCAGCAGCAGATTTATAGCTCTGCTCCGGTGGTTGTAATAAAACTTTATTGGCTGACAAGGTACACACTGAAGGTTGCCATAGCTTTTACAGAGAAACATTTAAACTTGTCATATATATTCAGTCATGTAAAACTGTAAGAAAAGTCTTTAAATAATTTTAATGTACTCTGAATCTTTTGTATCTGCTCACCTAAAAAAAAAAAAAATATCAACAAACATTTAAAACCATAGATGTGCATGTTTTACTTGTCTTGGTATTTCTTAATATTTTATAAATAAAAAAAAAACAGGCAATTTCCAATATTTTGAGTTCAACAGGAGCATTAAGTTTATATACTTTGATATTAAATTTCTTTCAACTATCCATCTGCACCAAATTAAAGCTTAACAAGTAATCTCATTAACAGGGCCCTCAAGCATTCATCCTCCTTTGATGCTTCCACTTTTTTGGGACATATGAACCACAAGTTTTAATGTATATTTGGGGTCACCTTATATAAAAGACCAAAACGAACCAAAACAAAATAGTGAAAAGCTGAAAAGTGGAGGGATGAGAATAAATTGTTTTATCTATTTTTTTTTTTAGCAGAGAAATCTGAAAAGTGTGTCATGGATTTTTAGTCTTCCCCCTTTACGCTGACACATCTAGACACAATCCAGTGCAAATAAATGCTTCTATAAGTAACATATTTACTGTAGTATAAATACAGTGTGTATTTTAAAACCTAAAGTCTTAAATTGCTGCAAAATGTACCTCTAGTTTTACTCAAATTCTATTTTAGGTTTTCCACTAAAATGTAATAAAATGATGAGTTGTTTTCCTTTCACATCACAATTATGCACTAATGTGTATTGGTCTGTCATATACAAGACCATTAACTGAAATACAAAAAAGTTTGATAGTTATAACCTGATATAAAAAGGCAGAAAGGGTTTGAATACTCTGCCTGATTTATCACACTAACATCCTTTTACTGTGCAAATTATGTTCTTCATTCCAGAGCATTTACTGCTAAAACAGCACATTCTACCTTTGGGTGTAACCTCGTGATGTAGGCAACAAGGGTATCTGATTTATGGTATAAGCACCATAAATCAGCATATTAGCAATATTAATTACCCTAAGTCACAGTTAGTCTACCAAGTGAACTAGTATTTTTCTTGTTTTGCTTTGCCAACCAAACTGCTTTCAGGTTTAGGAAATTTTCAGCAATTTAAACCACAAATTCAGATTTGATTTCCCCCTCTCTTTGTGTTTCACAGAGGAGACCCCAACAAGAGTGACATCTGGGGAAACACGCCGCTACACCACGCATCTGCTAATGGCCACATGCACATCATCAGCTTTCTGGTGAACTTCGGAGCCAATCTTTTTGCCCTGGACAATGATTTCCACACACCTATGGACGTTGCTGCGTCTCGAGGCCACATGAACTGTGTGCGATTTCTGGATGACGCCGCCTCACAACAAACCAACCAAAATCCCAAAAAGGTCGCCAACATCAAAAAGGAAGCCCAGAAAGAGGCAGAGAGACGAGTGAAACTCTATGAGAAGGTGAAGAAAAAGCACCAAAACAAGATGGATCGAATGAGCCGCGGAGGAAGCATGAATGGGTCGGTTTCTGAGGCAAGCATGGGATCAGGCTTCTCAGATGATGGCACCATCAGGAGTGAACAATTCTCCAAGCTTATTGCTTCAGACAAGACCGGCTCTGTTACAGCCAGAGTTAAAGGCACTCTCCAGAAGATGGGAAAGAAAGAGAAGGGCACACTGCAGAGAACAGGAGGAGGTGGGAATGTCATCTTCCGTAAGCAGGAGAATGAATCCTCTGACAAACCAGAGTTTCTGGATGTCTTTGAAGAACAAGATGAGAGTGACCCAGTCAGCGGAGAGACGGAGGAATACGAAGATGATGACTCCAGAGACGAGCCAAGCGAAGTCAAACAATCCATCTTTAACCGACCTGGCTTTGGCGGCCTGATTTTCATGAAGAAGATGAACATGGAGACAGAAGATGTTCTTCCCACAGGGAATAATGAAAGTCTTGGCTACCTCGTTGAGAACCAGTTGTTTGAGGCAGATGAAGATGCATCTGGCTTTGAGGAGGCTGGTGATGGTGACCTTCCTTGGGATCAAGAAGATCTGGGGCTGGATGATGATGAAGATGAGGACACCTCCCCTTT